AGTAGGCTATCAGAAGTGTGTTTACCAACGACAAACTCGTTGAGTTTAAACTTCTGGCTGGCCACGTCTTAGGGTCTTCACTGCCCCACTATGGGGGGAGTGATCTGTAGCGGTAAATAAATCCCCAAAATAAATAGCTCTGTATGTTTTCGACATTGGATGCTGACCATATGTTTTAGTGGGCTCATCTAGCTGAAGGTGCTCGGCCAGGCATCCGCACCAGATCACGTGTGGTAACGCTGTGCTCAACATCTACATCAATCGCTAGCCAGATTAGATCAGAGATTTCCCGATATATCGGTTATCGACAAATACACTCTTCCGATCTCCTCGACTCTGTCTTTTGATTTTTCTCGGTGGGAACAAAGTATAATAGATGTTACTGGTAGAAGCGTTGTCAAACACTGAATACCTGTATCATCTTTAGTGTCAGTGACAGCCGATAGGGAATTATATCAAAGATGTAGGATAGGTCTGTGATAAGTATATATTCATTGGTAATTGTCCTTGTAACTTACTTTTTCAGGTGTAAAAATGTACCACAAATACAAGGTAGTATGATAGTCTCAGTATAATATACCCTACAAATGAATAAGTTAAGAAATATCTGAACCACGTGAAAAAATGTTACAACGTTTAGATTTCGCGCGATTCGTTTCAGGAAAATTGAAAAGATTTGGCCGATTAAGGAGTGTTGTATTGAATATTATTAATAACAATGTGTTTCGGACGCATTTGTTGTACTCAAATTTCGAACTCGTTTGTGTATATCGTATTCTCAGAAACACTATGTGCGATTAAAAGCTTAGTACAAGCTTCAAATGGGCCTCTGGATATAAGGAAATGTTTTCTTATATAGGCTGCGTAAATACCATCAAGGTTATATGTTGAATTAGTTACTAATAATATATATTTATGGATGGTTACTAATTATTTTTTATTAAGTTGTTCATTACCTTTACAAACCACTCTTCATGAAATTGAACACTAAAGGGACAGAATAAAAATGTGCTTGAATTATTCTTAATCTGAACTCGTGAGTTGTGAAATTATCTTTACTAAGCATTCTTTGTCCTAGAATAGACAAGACAAAACTTATCATCTGCTTCAGAGCCAAGGAAAACTAAGTAGCCTAGTCGAGGTACATTCTCACAGATTCTCCTTGCAGATGAAATCTTGAATCATATATTTCAGACATACTTGGTTTATATATAAGCAAACCAGACCAAATCATACCATAAAATAAAAAATATAAATTATACAATATTAGACCAAAACATGGCTGTCATTGTGAGACTGAAACTAATAAATTGGGAATAACTTAGGAATAGTAAATGATGTAGTAGTAGTTGATCGATCAAATAAAAGCTTATAATAAAAATAACATAAATATATTCAGTCTAGGCACCTAGCAGCTATATAATAAGAATATACATATAGTTATAACTTGTGGCTATGTGCCCTATTAGTAAACGACATAATGATACTACTAACTAGAGAACAGTGAATTATCGACTGAATGCATAAAACTTGTATAAACAGCCTACATCCTTTATCGATCCTTCTTCATGTCTAGCCCTGCCTGGTAAATCCAGAACACCAATCTCAGCCTCTGTGACATGAGCTATGTATTTGAAACACACTGGGTTTATATACGAACAAAACAGAACGCGTCGTACCAAAAAATATTAAATAACATTTGCACAAGATCTAGCCAAAATTGGCTATGGACGTGGGAGACTGTAATTAATAGTTTGGTAGTAACTCAAGAACGGTAAATCGTTTAACAATCATTTATAGGTCAAAATAATGCTTGCAGTAAAAGGGGTACAAATATACACAACCTAGCTACTGAATAGTTATACATTAAGAATACACGAATAATATTTGTCCATTCATAATTCTCACTGGGATATAACACATTATAGCAGTTCATAAATAATTCCCAGAAGTTACACATAATTTAATCCTCGTTTAGATATAACAACATTAGACCAGTATTAATCAAACGTACAAGATTCTTAAGATGAGACTGGTATGTACCTGGATGTAGAATTTCGATGCAGTTACGAATAGCCAAATATACCAGTTCCTTTTAACAGCTATTACAACTTATTCATTGATGAGAAAAGTGTCGTGAATTTTAAGCAACTTTTAAATATAAAGATTCTGAAACATTGAATACCAAAAAATATCTTCAGGATTATAATGAATTTGATCTAAAGTCAAAATGAAATCCCTATATCACCTTTGGCTGATTTTTGGTACTCTGTTAAACGTTTAATTGTTAGGTACAAACTACTTGACAAGAAGAGCTATGTAGTTTTGGATGTACCAAAGACGGATAAGAAGACGGGAGCTTACAACCTCAGGTCATTTTCCGATTTTCCTGTTATGGTGAAGACCACGGATAGCATTTTACACGGTTCATCAAAAGGTTCTAAGCTTTTGAAAACTGCTGTCAATTAATAAGGCACACAGGGCAGCGATAGTTCTTTAACTGTCTGGAGTAGTCTGACATTCAACGGAGTATGAATATCTTGCGCATATGCAGATATACATGCTTACCCGCTTTTTGGGTTCCCATGACATTGAACGTAAATTTTACTTACTTATTACTTATACCTGTTAATCCTCGAGAGGGGGATCATATACTGCCCATCAGCAATCCCCATCCAAAGATGTCTTGAGCAATCCCTTCCGATTTTCTCCGGTTGCTATTCATCCTTATCATGTTTGATTCTAATTATTGATTCAGTGTGTTCTTCAGCCTTCCACTTGTTCTTTCCTCTTCAGGATTCCAAGTTATGGCTCGCCTCGTGATCCCGTTGGATGATTAACTAAATATACGTCTTATCCACTTTCAACGTCTTTTCCTAATTTCCATTTCACCTGGAAGCTGGTTTGTTTCCAAAGTAGACTGCTGAAGATGGCACCCGGACGACAGGCATTCAGTACCTTGCGTAGATAATTGTTCATAAATTCTTGTACGTTTTTGATGCTGATTGTGGTAGTTCTACAAGTCTCAGCTCCGTATAATATAACTAACTGTCATGATGTTTGTACTGATGATTCTCACTTTGATGTTGACTGACAGCCGTTCGCAATTCCATACGTTCTTCAGTTGAAGGAACGCGGCTCTTGCTTTGCCAATCCTTCACGCCCATCGATGATGTTGTTCGTGTACGTGAAAGTCTATCAGGATATGGCTTAATCCTTTGTGCACGTTAAAGCCTACTGATGCAGAAACTGCTGCTACACCACTTCACAGTGTAGTCCGTCATGTGAATTCTGGATGATGTTGACGACTTTCCTATGTATACCATAGTGTCGAAGAAAACTCCCATAAGTTCCTCCTATCCACACTGTCAAACGCCTTTCCATAGCCAATGATGTTGACGTATAGTGATGAATTCCATCCAATTGATTGTTCAGCGATGATCTGTAGTGTCGCCATCTGGTCTGTGCACGACCGATCCTTATGGATTCCGACTTGTCGACCTCGAAGCTCGACGTCCACTGGATCTCTCATCCGGTTCAACAACACTATGTTAGAAGCTTGCACCGGTACCGACAGTAGTGTGGTATCTCTTTAGTTTTCACATTTGCTCAGATCTCCTTTCTTTGGTATCTGGATGAGACATCCTTATTTCCAGTCCGTCAGCACTTGATCTTCCCTCCAAATTTTCCTTGATAGAATGTGGAGTATGTTTGCAGTTACTTCTGTCTAACCTTAGTGCTTTGGCTGGTGAATTGTCAGGTCCTGATGCTTTCCCATACTCGGTTTGTCCGATGGTCATTCTGATTTCTTCGATTGTTGGTGGAGTGACATCTATAGGAAGGTCTGTAGGTGTTGCTTCGATGTCTAGTTGATCCAATGGAGCTGACCTATTCAAGATTTCTTCAAAGTATTCTTGAAATTTCAGTGATTGACTTGCCTTCTTCGTCACTGACCTGACTCTCTGGTTTACTGTGTTTCCCTACCAGTTTCTTCGTCGTGCCATATAGTTGTCTGGCATTTCCTTCTCTTGCAGCTTTATCCACTGTCCTTGCTGGGTCTATCACATATTTCTGCTTGTCATTCCTAATACTCTTATTCATTTGCTTGTTTGCTTCTGTGTATCCAGCCTGTGCGTCAACTTCCTCTGTTCTTGTTCGGCTGTTGCTAATCGCTGTCTTGTTATTCCTTTATTGAATCGTGTCCGGGGGTTCCATAGAGATCTATTCCTTATGATGAAGCTTATTCCGGCCAAATACCTCCCGATACGTGAAAGTGTGTGATTTTTTATCCCTTTCCATTTTTCTTCCATGGTGGTCTCCTTTTCTTCCAGTGGATATTGTAAAGCTTGGAACCTGTTGTTGAAAGTTATCTTGAATTGTTTGAGTTTGTCAGTATTTAGAAGGAATGCTGTATAGAATCTTTGTATTGCTGTTTCCCCAGCTGTTCAGTGTTTCTTTAGCTTCAGTTACATCTTGAACACAACCAGTTGGTTATCTGAAGCTACGTTAGTACCTCTGTTTATTTTCACGTCTTCAATTGTCCATTTGAATGTTTTATTGATACAAATATGATCAATTTATACATAAATTGCACGTGGTAACAAGTAATATATATTACTATTGGTGGTTGCGTGGGAATTCCACATTCAGGTACATATCAGTTTCTTTTTAGGAGTCATGTACATATAATGAATACTGACAAACTGTGTCAAGTATTAGATGTGGCTTTTCCTTTATAAAACTATGGAAAAACTCGTGTGATTAATCTTTGAACTGTATAACAGTGAGCGATTACTCATTTATCACTTTGAAAATTATAGAATCCTCGGAGTTCAATTTTCTTAGCATTGGAATACCTGTTTACTGTACCACGCCATCATTGAACGGAATCAGTTTTTAAACTGTTTGTGTGTTTGAGCAAGATTTAATCTCTCAAGGTTGATTTGGGAAGATTATTGTTATGTCTTGTTTGTCGAGGCAATTATGCTTGCAGTTTTACAATGAGTCAGGGTCTAGAAACTCCAGTGGCTTTGGAACTATTTTGCGAAATGTTGGAAACGTTAAGTGAACGACCAATAAATGGTATTGTATTGCTGAGTTGGTCTCGTTCAGATATATTATCTCTTATGTTGAACATAATGTCACTCATTCTTATATCATGTTCTGTTGCTTCATACCGATATTCCTCCAGGTACTTTATGTCCTATAAACTAGTTTGTTTGACTAATCTAATATTTCTAGCTACTCCTGGATATCGATTGCTGGGGATTTGCTCTTTGTCCTCTTGTCAAGTAGCCTTTTGTTCTTAACGTTCCTAACGCGTTATAAAAGGATAATTTCATCTTGTACAAAGTTTAAGACATTCTTAAGATCTTCCGTCGCTTGTCTTAGTAAGTATGTTGTTTCTAATTGTTTGTAGGAAATTTGAAGCCGAATATGCTTTCATATTCACCATGTCTAAATGGACTTTTAAATGAGATGGTTGGTTTGGATACCCACCTTACTATCCGGGATGGAAAAATCGTGGTCTTGCCTGCTGTTTTACTTGTTCCAGGTGATGTTATTATTATTAAACCAGGTCAGACAATCTTCGCTTTCTGCAAACAAATAAATGAAGTAAGGGTATTTACACTTTTACTTTTCGACCTCTGAACTAGAATCACATTTACTTTCCAGGTGATGTTTATGTTCCTCAGAAACTCAGTTGTAACCTGATATCCACCTCGTTTACATCCATTCAAAAATCAGATGAGTCTGTGGTAGCCGTTGTTATCCATTCTCCTTTGGCTTCTTACCTTGATATTGCTTCTAAATCAAGAGTTGAAAATGGTTATACGTTTCAACCGCTTGCTTATAAAGTTGTGAATACTGCAGTTTGGGTTTCTTTAATTATCAAGTGTTCTATAACTTTCATTTTTCTAACTTCAATATTTATTTGCGCATTACCTATTGGTGATCTTAGTCATCAGTTTTATCGCCTGCAAATCTGGTTTGCCCACACTCTTGGTATTGTTATTGCTTCTTCAAGCTTCTCATTGTATTTCATATGGATGGTTGCCACCGCTGTTGTCACATTCCACTTCCAGAATGTTCTTTCTAACGCTCAGGATCATTTTAAACTTATTGATGGCAATAACTTCAAATCTCCATATGTATTTTTCCAACCCAACATGTCTAAGGTGTCCAAATCAAACACATTAACTTTTCACTCGCTTATCTCCAATCTTCGCTGCTTTGGCTTTATGGTAAGCAAGATTAAGCTTGTTTATGTATTTACTAAACATTTACCCTCTGGTTCGTAAATGGTCGTTTTTTTCGTTTGCTCCGCAGAGTAGAAGTTGGATCTCTAAAAGATCAGTTTTTGTTCTCCTTAATCATTACTTTTCAGTGATTTATAGCTTATAAACTTTAGGTGCCCTGTAGGTATACTTTTCTGTTAAATAATGACTAACGAGACTTAAATTCGAAGGTTATACGGTATTTTAACGATTTACTCAAGATTGTGTTGAATCAACAGAGAATTCTGCGGCTGTCAGTGTTGTTCTTCAAGAGTTATACTTGAGTGTAGCATTTATTTTACAGTTCTTAGATAACAATATTTGGTATATATAACAGTCAGAAATTATTCAGTCATTTATGTGTAACGTAGAAATTGCGATATGTACATTTGTTCAAGTTGTTATGTATATTCACAACGAGTATATATTATCAAAAGTCGCTGCAATATTATAAATGATATTATCTCCAGTTGTAGTAGAGAAAATTAAAGATAGTCACATAAGACGATTTTTAACGTCAGAATCCCAAGGAAAATGAAAAGTGGATGAATTTGCATCATTGTGAGCAATTTTAAGCCATATCACATCAAGTCCCCACCCATTGATTACAATAATCAAGCCGACTCTAAATTAGGTAGTCTACACATACAACTACAACTTAGTCTAACAGCTAATAATCTCATGACTTGATATTACGTTTTGTTTTGGTCACTCTGACCTTCCTCACAACCCACTACATCAGTCACTATCGCTTTTGATCAGAATACATGAATTATTTATCAGTTCAATTCGTCAAACCAACATGGTAAGTTGATAAAGACCTACAGTAGGAATAAAAATAAAATAAAAACAGTTGAGAACTCATTCAAAGTTTGAATTAGTATCATGTTCTAAACGTAAATATTGGTACGGGATGAATGGATGTATCAACGATACAGTAACTGTTTTTGAACTATTTAACTACCTGTGTACACAAATTATCCAACCTATCAAAATGCGATTGTGTCTTATACCTAACTAAATAACTCTATAGTATTTTGAAGATCTATGACGTTTGGAGGTTGCATAGGAGTATCGGTTATTTTAAGTCTTTTAATGACGACAAAAAACTTCTGTTTTTTGAGAATACGTAAACTCAATTTTAAATAGAACAAAGTGAGCAAGCTTAATAATGTACAATCTTTTAACTGTGAAGGTAATTTATTTTTGACGTAAATTATACTGCTCTATTGTCTTAATTAGTGGAATACGCCTTATTAGTCATTCTTTAAGTTGGATAAGAAATTAAGGAGCCAATTCTACACAAAACTGTGTTTAAGTAGTCAGTTTGCGTACCAAATGCACTCGAGTTTTCTGATTTCAGTTTATATCGTCATGGATTAATCCATAACGAGATACATACTACATATATCTATTAAAATTTTAACTTCAATAATAACTCGTAGTTCGTTCCTAACTTTATGGTGTAACAGGATTACTAGAAGGGGCTTTCCACTTTGTTACGTCGAATGAACCTGAAAAAGTGAAGTGTATTGGAAGTAACTTGATAAATGTAAAGGTAAATTACGTGATAATTTTATACTACATGTCTTGTTACTTACAACTACTATTACTATTGCATTCTATTTATCTACGAAATGTTTCCTCAATACATTATTTACATCATTCTACGGTGACTTATTTAAAGGTGTTGTAATCATAGTTTTACTTTCAGACGAACGTAGATATGGAAAATATTGTACTTACTTTGGGAACACTAAGTTCCGTGTGTTGTATCAACCAAGAAGGTGTTATAAGTCAGTCGTTACCAACTCCAGAGAAAATGTTTTTCTTCCACAGACGCCACCACAATCATCACCATCAGGAGAGTTTTGGTACAAACAAGTCTCAAAATGTCTATAAATCAAACTCAAAAGCGGAAGAACGTTTGGATCATCAAAATTCTAAATCAGGCCAGCTGAACACGTCGGGTTTTCTGCGCACAAAAAAACAAGTAACTTTTGCTTTTTAAGTAACTTGTTTGAAGCTTGTAGCAATAATAGTTCAGAAAGATAATCGAAGCTTAACTATGGAACCATTTATCTCGTTTGACTTGAAAACCATTGAAATCACTTCAAATGACCAGAAATCACAGGAAGTCTACGTTCTGGTGTGGAGCTACTTTATGATTATTTCATAAATTGTGTTATTTCTACACATGTCCAATAGGGGGTTGTGGACGTATGTTGTTTTAGCTTGCCACTGCTTTCAAATGTTCAAAAGAGAATATGTAGGAAAAAGGTATAATGAACAGACAAAAAGTTATGGTATAGTGACCCCATCTATGTGTTTCGGTCGCTGGTTTCTAATCTTAAGGAGATACTAACAACTAAGCTTGCTTCTTCCGATATGGCTCAGACCGAAATCCAGTGACTTCATGAGTTGAAACCATATTTTAATATGCTCATTTGACCTGTCGTTCTTCACCACTCAGCACCATGTATTTCCCGAAGACGCATCTCAAACATAATGGTTCAGGCTTCTTAGTTTAGATAGGTTGGCATTCTTATCAATTGCTTAGTCCTCTTTAAGCATTACTCTTATTTTAATTATCAGCAACCTAATTTTTTGTCCATGCATAAAGAGTCTGTTGACCAGTCGTCCATGTGATTGCTTTTTAATATTCATTTTTTTGTGGATAGATTTACCGGTTGTACTATGTAGATTCGTCCAATAGAGAAAAAGAATCCATAATGTATTCTCTTAGATTGTTACTTTCATGAACTAGTTTACCAATCCCGGGTATTATTTGTTATCAGTGTCTAAAAATCTATCGATGGTGGGTTTAAATAACCACCGAAAATTAGCGAAATATAACAGTAGTATGGTGAAGTGTTAGCGTATTATCCTCATTATCAGGTAAATTCTACCAGATTATTCGTCATTTTTAATTCACCACTAGCGATGTAATGGATAAGATGTATTACATTCAAAGTTTCGGCCTGTCACAGTCATTGAACTTCCTTAAATGACAGTGCGATCTTCAAATCTAGTAGAAAGTAAACACTTTCACTAATTATATAACGTCTAATAAATTTGTCTCATTTTTCTGTTGGAAGACTTGTTTTTACTAATCTAGAACTATTCAGCTGAATGCCTTGCTGTCTTTCCGCCAACTTGATAGTCGTTTTGAACTCCGGAGAAACTCGTAAACAGATATGTTAATTAACAATCATTTGTGCAATCGATCCGATTTTCGTTTTTTCGTAGGTAGTTAGTGGATTTATGGAGTAACAAATCTAACTCTCGCAGGCTAGTATCAAATATCCTATTCATTGGAAATCAAGATATATTTTTCAGATGTATTGGAACATACTCAAAATGCTGTTTTAAAGTGCTTATTTATAGGTATTTTGCTTTAATTTGAAGTGCATGGTCCTTCTCACAGCCTCAGTTTCCATCATTGTAAATATATAAAATGCTTTGTATTGTTCCCAGGTTTAAATTATTTTACCTCTTCCTAAAATTCAGTGAATTATTAAGTTTTGGAAGTGATTTGAGCCAGGTGTTAAAATCAGTTGAACAACTTCTGATAGTCCGACAGCGATAAAAGTGAATTTGTTTTATACTTAACTGTTCCCCTAGAATTACGATTCGCTCATGAAACCTTGTTTAAATTACGTTTAATATTCTTAGAAATGAAATGTCTATTTTAAATAAAACCTCAGTGTGAATTTATTTTCAAAAATAATTGTTGCAGAAATTTATTGGACGTAAGCAATCATTTTGTCACCATGAATAAACGTATTTTTGGTTTAATATGTAAAGGGATTCCCAAATCAAAATTACTCTGTATATTGATGGAATAAATCATTTATTTCAAAACTCGGTTATATTCGATTTCTATTCAAATTCGTAGTGTGTTGAACTTAATCAAGGAGAACTTTACAAGACTCAAAGTTCCATCCAAAATCAGCTACCCACTAACTGTGATCCTAATGAGACTCCTGGTTTTCAACGAAGTGCTGTGTTTCCACTGGGCAGTTGTATTGCACCGGTAGTTCTAGACTTACGAACCGATTTTTATCGACCCTTTTTATCGCATTTCGAAAGGCCGCGCTGGGATCGTTTCCTTTCATCGCTTAAACCAATCGGTTTATCGATTCTTCTCAACAATTGTCACTCTGCTATTGCGAAACAGAGAATTGGCTTTTTTGAGAAAGTAAATGCAACTCAAAAATATTTCGATTCTTCGTCATGTATTACTGCACTGCCGCTTACTTTCTGTCTGTGTGGTCTTGCCAGCCAGATAGGATTTCGTGATGGTGCCTTAAGTGGTTTTGGTACTCATGGATGCTTGGGTGCTTATTCTATTTGCTCAGCCGCATATACTTCTAATTCTAACGCTACTGATGTGAAAAGTAAATTATCCTCCGAAGAAATCCTTCCGACAAAAGAAAATACAAATTATGTAGGTTTGACTCTATTTGTTTACATTAACTGTTTTTGTGGTGCTATCTTGTTTCTTTATAACCGGATAGCTTCATGGTGCAAGTTAAATGTTATCTCATTTCTCATCTTCTTTTCTCTAAGTACATTTTGAGGCTAATTGACTGTCCGTATAATAGCATGCGCATAGTTTTCTCGATTTAAACTATCACACAGTAAAAAGGGATTGTAATGAGGATTATCGGCAAAGCTGAATGATCACCGTTAACTTAACAGACTACTCAGTTTATCATGACGATTAGTAGATATAATTGAATGATTCAAGTTGGTTACTAGCGTAATCTTAGTTTAGAGACCCCCCAGCTGCATAGTGTTTAGTTTTCTATACTCCTTTAAGGAGTAGTCGTTTAACTAACTGAATTTTGGAGACATTATGTCACTGTTACTTGTTCATAAAACCCACTCCACTCATCCTACGGTTTTGGTGTTTGTGACGTTACAGTAGCTTTTTGATTTCAAGCAAAGCTTTATACCAAACCATAGTACTAATGTGTTGATTATTTTAAAAGTTATTTACTATACTCAATAATGTTGTCTAATTATGCGTTAGTTAACTGTAATCAGTCATTGGAACCATGGGACAATTTGCTTTAGTGACTTAGATTAATCCTTTCTTTGCTCCTCTCTAAGTATTTGACATGATCTTTCGTCCCAACTTCTTTATCTCTTTCAGTTTGCCAATAATACTGGTATTCCGCTACTCCTTTGATGTGTTTTTTTGTTCTTATGCTGTGTGGTGTTAACTCAATTCATCAATAAGATCTTATCAGAATGGTTTTTGTGGATATTATAGTAATTTCAATACTTGAGATCATTAGTCAATTGAAGCTAGACCACCATGGAAAACCTGGAAGCACTTGACGGCCGTTTCATCCTATTATGGGATTCCTCAACAGTACGCATCCGCGACCCGCCGAGGTATTTCCTGGAGTTCTAGTGAGAAGCAGTTACCAGTGGAGTTCAACCGGGTCTGTTGTGAGATGGTAACTCACTGAAGACAATGGTGGATGTGTCGCTAAATTTCGTGAATTGGTTGAAGTTAGACATTAACACCGTTGGATGCCGGCTCAGTAGTCTAGCGGTTAAGCACTTGGGTGCGAGACTGATAAGTCCTGGGTTCGGATCTCGTGAGGTGGAATCGTCGATGTGTGCTTCTGAGGAGTCCCACAATAGGACGAAACGGCCGTCCAGTGCTTCCAGGTTTTCCATGATGATCTAGCTTCAGTTGACTTATGATCTCAACCATTGAAATAATATTTCAGTTGAGGAAACTTAAAGAATCAAAACAACTGATTTTTTAACACATCATCGTCGTACATTACTTCATAAATGGCGTTATAATGACTCAACTAGTGTATGATCAAACCATATTTCAATAAACGTACACTTTTACTTTCATATTTTTACGTGTTATGATTTTTGTTAAGTAATCCGTGCAACAAATGTAAGGCCAATATATTTTACTGTTGAATCTGGTTAGATACACCCATTTCAGTCAGTTGGATTTTCAAAATAGTGTAGTGCTAACTATCGAAACTTGATTTTTACTCACTGTAGGACCGAATGCATTTGGCTTATTGCTTTAGCTCTGTCTTCTCTGATCCGAATATTCAAAGTGGTTATCAACTGCTCTCTCAAGGTACTGGTGATATTCTTGCTAGCTTGTGTTCTGATGTTTGGGATGGGCGGGATATTGTGCCACTGTCAGATAGAGAACGTGAACTAATCTTGGGGTTCCACAATCGTCATCTGTCGTCTGCATACTGTATTGGATTCGCTTATTCTCCGTTGGTTGATAAAATTGAGGAATCTTATCGACTGTTGTTGGGTAATCTCCCTAGTTCGTCAGATATCTTCATGCTTCGTTTACCAGGAGTAAGATTTAGTATTTCGGATTGTTATTTTCATGATTGTTTTCAAAATGATACGGAGCTTATAAAATATGTTTACATATCCCTTCTCTATAACTCACTACATTATTTCTGCAAATTCATACATATTTACCGTCGTTATATTCAATTTACCTCTTCAAATATGATAAATAATTTCTTGTTCATCACATTTGAAGTTTGTCTTGCAAAACCACTTACTCCTATCAGCGGATGAAAGGACGTTTCTTCCTAAAACTTGACAGCTCAGCGGTACGAATTCTTAATATGATCCTAATGTATTCGAACTCAGTCGTCAGTCAGTCAGCTACAACGTAGGACTAGGCACATATATGCATCGGTCCAGGTTGCCATACCTCATTTGCACAGCAAGATGAACACCGGATTCATAGGAGTGGTTATGTTAAAGGTGGTAATATATAGGAGAAAGATTGCATATAAGGATACAGTACCGGGATATAGAATTAGTAGAATAAAAGATGTGAAGCGATTTTAATCTCAGTTTAAGGGAAGACAGGGAGTGTATGCACCGACGCCATTGTGATCGATTCTGAGCCATGTCACCAAGAGTCTCCAACCATTGGTTACGATAGTGTTGTAATGGGTGAGTGACTGCAGGTTATTGATAAGCAGCATTTATATCGATCGCCTCTGTGACACGTAAACACGTACGAACGACCTAGTGTCCTGATTGGCCCTGCTTCGCTATCTAACCCAGCCAGTTGAGTCCAGAACGAAAGTCACAGCCTCTGAGAAATGAATCATTGTATTTCAGACATACTCTATTTATATACTAACCAAACATACCACATCGTACCATAAAATAGAAAACAACATTTACACAATATTAAACAAGTGAAGTAAATATCGACCAATAGGGAATGTACATTTAGCGTCCAAGGACAACGTTAGACTTAACATGATAACTATTGGTATATTTTTCTGCACATCCTAACAGATAGTCACGCAGACCCCAACCAAGTAGTCTGCATCTACCAACATGGCTCAGACTACAAGTTAGTGACTTCAAGCACTGATGCCACGTTTTGCTTTGGCCGCCCCTAGCTTTCTTCCAACCATCCCCAACACCAGTTAGCATTGCGCGTCGTGGTAATCGGTGTTCGGGCATACGTAACACGTGGGTCCAACCATCTCAGTCGATGAAGATTCACAACCTCATCAACTGATTTACCATCATTCCCTAATACCCTGCGTCTAACCTCACTATTACTTACCCGCTGATCCCAGCAGACGCCAGCAATATTTCTAAGGCATATATAGTCAAATACTAGTAGTTTACGAATATCTTTAACTACTAATGACCACGTTTCGCAGCCGTAAATTAAAACAGAACGGACTGCCGCGCAGTATACTCGTCCTTTTATTGATAGACGGATATCTCGCCTTCGCCATAGGTGACGTATGTTGGCAAAAGCCAAGCGAGCTTTTCGAATCCGTGCTGAGATTTCGTCAGACACCAACCCATTAGGGCTGATCAGACTTCCAAGATAAGTGAAGTTGTCAACACGTTCGACTACTTCACTCCCTATCCTAAGTTCAGGTGTTGACGCAGACCAGTCCTGAAGCAACAACTTGCATTTAGAGGGAGAGAAGCGCATTCCAAACATTCTGGCATTGTTGCTTAGTGCTACCAAAAAACTCTGCATTTTATCAGCGTCTTCACCAAACAGGACTACGTCATCTGCGTATTCTAAGTCGATAAGTGGACCTCCTGGGAGGAGATTAATACCCGAGTATTCAGTAGACGAGATCGACATTTCCATCAATAGGTCTATGATGAAGTTAAACAAAAGTGGAGAAAGTGGACAGCCTTGACGGACACCACTTGAGGTTGCAAAAGCAGATGACAGTATGCCATAAGCTCTCACTCGACTAGTAGTGTTCGAGTAGAGAGCCTTCACAAGGTGACAGAAATAAATGAACATTCAGTTCTGGTATTTCAGAACTGACCTACGATTATTTAAATCTTATTACCTGGGATAATTAGGTAATAATGATTTATAACAAGATAGATTAAAAATTACTATGATTTTGGTAAAAAAAACCCTTTCACTCTTCCGGATTTTATGACACTCCCAAATAATGATCGAAAACCACACCTTTCTAGAAGGGTTGTCAGGATGTTTATCTTGTGGATACTTCCAAATCTTCAGTCATTACTCGGCATGATCTTGTACATCACAATCTGTGTTGTGACGTGAGACTGCAGATTAGAGTGAAGACCGAATTATCGATCGGACCACAGACGCGCAAACACGTACGAACGGCCTAGAGTCTCGACTTGTCTGGCTTCCCTGTCTAGCCCAGCCAGTTAAGTCCAGAACACAAACCTCAGCCTCTGAGTTATGAATCACTGTACTTCAGACATACTTTGTTTATATACCAACCAAACAAACCACATCGTACCATAAAATAGAAAACAACATTTTGTACAATATTTAACAAGTGAACAAATATCTACCAATAGGGAATATTCATTTAACGTCCAAGGATACCATCAGACTTAACACGATAATTATTGGTATATTCCTCCGCATCCATAACAATCTGTTAGCATATTGTCAAAATATGTATCCACATACATTCGTAACTGATGAACAGATCTGTTTGTAATTGCAAATATAAGTCATTCTAAGGTCTAGTTTTAATTGTTTTCAAACCACCCCCAATAAAAATATGTATCTTTGAAAGTATCTAGTGCTTCGGCTAGTATTCAGAAAAAAACCCATTATATTAAACAGGCATAGAAAGTGCTTAAATTCCTTTCTCATGGGATGGAAGCGCGACAACTTCAGACATCAGTTCATCGATCGAAATAGCTGGAATTATCAAAATCAGAGGAAAACAGACTCAACTGATGAAAAAAGGTAAGGACATAAATATAATAAAGAGAATTTGTTAGTAAAATGCACATAACTGTAAAATAATGAAAGTGTTTGACAGTATAGAGGCGTGTAGATTGTCCAACTTCATTTAAATCATGAACTAATCAAAGTCAGACAATAATTGAGAACTTGTAAACACTGAACGACCGTTACGTCCAATTATAGGACTGTACTGGTTGTCTTTGATTAGTTCGCAATTTCGATTTACATGTTTGATATTTAGGGGAATATTTCTGTTTGATAATATGTATTACCTCATATTGTGCAACATAATAATCAACTACAATTATGTGAGTGTGGGGTTTAACATTTATATTTCTAAATTTCCAACAGTGCATAGCAATACTGTTTTTTTGTGTGTGTTTCTCTTCTCTTATTTAATTAAGCCTGATAATATTTCACCAGTAATACAGCGAAAGGTACTGGAACACCTGGTTTGTAGTCGATCATATTCAAATCGTTCTCTACTACCGCGTGTTACGGACAATATTAACAATACCAGTCCCATTTATGCCAGGATTGTTCGTGATAGTGATATTTCTGGAAGATCCCAAGCTATTTCAAAATCCAGCAGACCACGTAATTATCAACCAAAATTTATAAAGAATATAAAAAACTTCGGTTTTAATTCCTTCTTTAAATATTGGCAGCATAGCGATCGAAAAAAAGAAGGGTGTGATAAAACGGAAGGAACGTATTCAAATGATAAACTTCTAAAACATTCACCGTCTAAGAGAAGTGATAGATTTTCTAGAAAACATCGAATTAACCATAATCGAATAAATAGTAATTTTGGTGAGTATGATAGTAACTGTTTGGTTTTGAATGAATTTCCAAATGCTAATTTTGTTTCGGAAACTGATCATTGCAAAAGTAACGCTGATAAATTGGATCATGATAAGAAGTGAGTAAAATTATTTGTTTTTGTTGACTGTTTTCCTAATGCAATCCTAACGTATTTAGTCTAAAACAAGTATCATTTTGGGGATAATTCGTAAAACAATCCTCTGACTGATTGTAAACACAGTTCCACATATGATAGTTGGAAAGTGGGCGAAGCTGAAGAGATTCACCTAAAAAAGTCAGTCACTAAAAGCAACATCAAAAAACATTAACATTTTCTAACTATATGTTGGAAATTTGGTCCGTATACTGTGAAGAGCAGTTCAGTCAGTGTACAGTTAATCACATCCCGAATATGTTATTGAATGAGAACTAAATTTATAAGTCAGTCAGTAACAACGTAGAACTTCGTACGTACGTACATCAGTTCGAGTTGCCATACCACATTAGCACAGAGATGCAGTGGTCGATTCAAATCCCGTAGTGGTAGAGGTAGCAAGAGTATAAGCAGTAATCGGGAAGATTAGGGTTTGGAGATGTTATTTAACGCGTATAATCCAGTGAAATAAATTTGGAAAGAGGAAAAAAAGGGACATGAAGAATTCAGAAGATTAGAATTTGGGAGAACATAGAGAGTGGATGCACCTGCGCCATTGCAAACGATTTTGAGCCATGTCATTCAAGGTCTCTAACCATCGGTTGCTATCATCTCGCGGTCCCCAACCAGGTAGTCTACACCTACCAACATGACTCAGTCCACTTGTCAATGAATTCATGGACTTGTGCCATGTTTTGGTCTGGCCGCCCCTAGCTTTCTTCCAACCTACTCCTATACCACTGAATATAGCACGTCGAGGTAGTCGGTGGTTGGGCATACGTAACACGTGTCCCAGCCATCTCAACTGATGAAGTTTCACTACTTCATCAATTGATTTGCCATCCTTACTGTGATAAATCAGAGATAAAATAAAATAGCAAAACTTGGCTAGTTTATTAAAGAGAACAAAGCTCTTTTCTTAGTAGTTACAAAAGAAGTAGCTTTGCTGAAACGATCTTTAAGATGTTAGAGTTCGCTGCAACTCATCATGCAGCTAGAAATCGGGTACAACAAACCCAATAAAACTACGATTTAAGTCTTAGAAATCAATGTATTAATCAAATCTTAATATGTATCAGTAAAGTTTGTGCTGATCTGCTACTAGTAAATGAAGTCATTTAAGTTTTGACATGTGTACTTTTGTTGTTTTACAGTCAAAGTCATCTTTAATCCGTTCGACGTCTATGGCTAGGCGATAGTTTTAATGATCTCAAGGGAGAAGCACCAAAAGAGTAAACTTAGTTACTATGGTGTTCAACTTGCGTAAATTAAGGTTGTTGAACCAAGTGTCATTCATAATAAACAATATTCCCTACTCCGACACAGAATATTAATTGAAGCAGGATTAGTTTAAAAAAGTCGTTACTAGCCTAACTAAAAAATTCCATCAATTCATAAAGTCACTGTCTAGTTGCTGGATACTCTTGGAAGGACTTAAACTATTTGATATGATACAGTAATAAAAACTAGCGGTCCGCTTCATAATAATCCAGCTACAGTCACTCCAAATCCTCGTCTAAATTTTAGTTGTCTTGTTATTCCGCATTTATGTCCTTAGTTATTTTGATAATCATCTTTTAGTTCCATATGCCTCAAATCAATGGACTTTTATTCAAGATTTTATGTTACTATCTTTCCTATTCCACCACCTAATTTATTAAATCTAACTTACAAAAACCTGTTATATCTATCCTGTAGTTTAAAGAGCAAGCTTGTCCTTTTGCATAAATTATTCGTATACGATAACAAATTTACATTACAAATCAAAAATATTTTCAGAATTTATTTACAGCTTAACTTTTTGCTTCTAAATCTTAAATAAATGATTACGAAATTCATAAACCACTTATAAAATCAAATACAGCCACTAGTCCTTTTTCTATAAAAGTTCAACATTTAGCTGATTCTCAATGACCATTCGTTCAGACAACTTTCAGTCTCTTATATGTTAGACCCCTTTTATACATAGTAGTTGTCTTTCCTCATCTTAATAACTCCTGTAAATATTTTTCACAATTACTTCACGTTTTACCGTTATTTTGTAGGAGTAATGTACGTATTAATCAGAAAGAAGTGGACAATATACTGAACAATCAAATATTCTTAGGTCTAATAAGTATGCAGTATCAGGCAAATCCTCAAGTTGTGAAGTCCATTAAACAACTTCATCAAGCTTGTATACGATTTGTACATTTTTCTCGAGTAAGTAACAATTGTCTGATAAGTATTATCATTATTACTTCATGCCAAACTACTTTTGAGATACTTCCATGGAGAATACGGTTATGAAGCCATATAAAGGACTAGCTATTATCCTTAGCTTTTAACACTAATCTGATGGTCGCATCACTTACTCCAGTTTGGTGCCCGTTTCTGTAAAGTATGTGGCTGTTAAGTAGCTAGTAAACCTAGACAACCCACTCCCTGTAAGTTAATAAAGCCACTCAACTGTCAACGATTATGTCATGGTTCCAAAAATTAATTAACTCAGTTTGCCCTCAGCAACCCAGTAGTATCACGATCTATAAGGGTAACTCAGAATTCATTGTACACGTTCACTGGCAAACTGTATGTTATATTTTGTATTTAGTATTATTCTATGTTTGTTCTTATTAAGGTAATGCAAAGGACTTTTTCGATAGGATGATTCTTCGTTTCACTATATTTATAACTGGAAATTATTGAATCATTTATGTCACTTAAATAGTTTATATTTTTACGTTTTTACACATACTGTACAATCTCATAATATATATACTTAACTATTCCTAGCAGTAACGATACTAATTTCTTGAAATGTCTTGGTGGGATTTCGTTCACACCATTACGCGACGTATTATTTATAGTTTTATTTTACGTGACGTATGGTACGTCGGAGTTTCTAAACAATATGCTTGATACGTGGTCATTAATTATATGATTCTTATTTAATGGACCACTGTAACACATAGTTTCTCGTTCGAGGTGTATTATTAAAAGAAATATTCAAGAGAGTGACCACTAAAACTTTTCCTTAGTAGTTCTTTTCACAGGATAAGCTGTTTTACTTTCCAACCCTTGAAACTATCTTCAGTGCTTTTAATGAGCGAATTTCCCGATCTTAATTCATAATTACTTTTCCCAGAAACTTATTAGCGACACTATTATTAATCATCTTTTTCTTAAATAACACGAGTTGGTCTACTACTATATTTTGTAAAAGTGTTATTTCTCGTATATTTTGTTAAGGAAAATGAACTTCGAAGTAGAGTGTTCGCTGAACGTTTGGGGTTAGAATGTGGTTGGAATTGTCATATATCGCTTAAGAGTCCTAATTCTGTTAGTAATCGCAAATCCGTTGGTCTGTCTAAAGAATTCCGTAAAAGCTATAAATCTTCATTTGGAACTGATTTATCCGTCACTGAAGGAAAATACTTTATTGGTAAGTAATTTGATCTTACATTAATTTTAACTGTTTTTCCATCTTCTAACTGCTTTTTTATTCTTTACCTTCCATAAGGTTCTCATCAGACTAAGCGATGGTCAAGTTCTCCAGCACTAGCAACGTCATATCCTTCAGTAAGTGGATGTATTTACTTAAGATTGTTTCAATGACAGTAATAACTCGATTAGTACAAATCTCCAGAAAGGTGGTCTATGTTTTATAAATATTTTCATTTAGATTAAGATTACTTTTACAGCTGCTCTTCAATATAAGGAAAAACTTCTGATTATTTAGGACTTCACTAACTAATCTTTAAATGATGTATTTTTTTTAGCACATATGTGTTTTTTATATTATTGCTCTCTTTTGTTATGGCCATGGAAATATCTCTAAAGTTAGCTCTGGTTTTAACTCTACTTCACTGGCAATGATGCCATATTCCCACTGTGATTTGGATAACCTTATATGTCACTGTACATTTTGGTGATATCGTTAGCATCCATAATATTAAACACTTTCTCAAACTGAACCGTATGTGAGCAAACCTTTGGGGATCGATAATAAAACATGATCTCAAAATATTGTCAGGTTTCAAGCAAAACTGTCACTGACACATCCACACCATCGGTAGTTGACTGCAATACGACCAGTTTAAGTTCACCGTTCAGTTTTATAGAATAGACACTAGTTGACGTGTTGGCGATGACTTTCCTGGAGTTTGGCGCTGAACAGAAACAGGTTGGACTCTTCAAAAAGCTATAGAGACTGTCCCCGTCATCTAACCTTCGACCATCGAGTCCTCATTATCCACTCAAATGACCTCTTCTTTGTCCCTTGACCCACATACCTGTACATTCAAGTCCCCAGCTAACAACAGAAGATCTATCAAATATGATTTATCATGAATTTAACCTCATTAGGACATATAAATCAGCGTTAGTTTCACCCGAAATGCAGTCCCCTCGTATGTAGGTAGAGATAACAAAAAACATGATTTCTCACCCCGTTTCTTCCTACTTTGGAGTAACCTAACCTAAAAGTGCATAAAAAATGCCCTGGTACGGCCGAGAGTGGGAACATTCCGCTCTCCCTCTCCAAATACTCTTACATGGCCACGCATATATAGCCTCTGCCAGAGAAGTCCTACTCATTGCCTTCTCGTGACGGGGGTGTTGTTTACGAAATTGAGAGAACGAAATGCGAATGTCCGGCGCTTTAACCGGGTTTTTGGACATGGGGAGTCCACCTAGGGGAGTTGGGAAACCCTGATTCCAAACCAATGGTGCACATGGCCTCCAGTATCCTGAAGGAACAAATGGCATATGAACCAGTTGTTGGTCACTGGCTTCCATGGGACTGCATCTCCTTACGACGCTCCACTGTCTTGTGTGTCAGACGTTCAGGTCGAAGGCTCCGGGTGTGACCCTAAGAAAACCACCTGCTTCGGTTTGGGCACCCGGTCAGTACCACAGGTCTCACACAAATCAAATGAGACTTGTGTGGTGCATATGTATATGGTGTCCCCTTGTACCAATATCTGTGTTAAAATAAAATAAAAAAAATAAAAAAAGTGCATAAGCAACTGTTAATCAGCGTCCGATTTACCAGCAATATTTCTTTAGTATGACATTAACATCAGGGAAACTGGAAGCTGATGCAATAGAGTTACTGAACAAGTATATATCAAACAAACATTTCGAACTGGCAGATGGCGAATTACTTTGTTTTACTTGACCAGAATCTTAAATACAAGTCTCAGATATATAAGATACATGCATATCGAAACTTTTAGAATTTTTAGCCAGACCAATCTATTGTATGATCTGCATCGATGTACAAACGTTGGAGCCAGGTTTACATGATAAATGTTACTTTAGAAAAGCTAGATCAGATTTTTCGGTCGGTGATATCACTCAGAAAATAAATCATCCTACAAATCGGACATTTTTCTGTCACTTTCGTTTCAATTTTCTAGAGATGGATATTATTTTTCTTGTAAGTTAGTAGTTAAAATACAATCCATGGAATACTAACATTCAAACAGATGCTCTACACAAAACATACTCTTTAAATAATCTAGATAAAATGCTCCAACTACTTTACTTATGTTGTAAAGCCATATATCAAAAAAAGTGTTTCGGACCAGTAATATTACGATTACATACCCTTGTGTGACTCTAGAATGTTTTGTCATCCATTTATGCTGTCTCCGAAATACGGAAACAGGATGCTGGTGTGATAATTCACTTGACTCCATCTATCCAGTATGGAGATCCAGTTGTAACTATCCTTTTGTGTATCTGGAGACCCGACATTAACTTCTCATTGTCTTGTAGTGCAAGTATATTGTGGGGAATAGTGTAACGTTATGTACAATGTTAAACCCACATAGTTTATTCCAGATTCCGAACAAGCCAATCTATTCATTTTTCTTAAACCACATTTTGACCTTTTCACTTATTGGCTTATTTATTCTGACTGTTTTTAGATGAGCGTATGTGAGTGCACATCTTATCTTACCTATAGCTTATTCTTATCTGGCTATAAATGTCGAGCCCCGAACGCCCTGGTACGGCCGAGAGTGGAGAGAGTCCGCTCTCCCTCTCGAAATACTCTCACACGGCCGCGCGTATACAGCCTCTGCCAGGGAAGTCCTACTCACTGCCTTCTCGTGACGGGGGTGTTGTTTACGAAAATGAGAGGACGAAAAGCGAACGTCCGGCGCTTTAACCGGATCACAAACCAATGGTGTACATGGGCTCCAGTATCCTGCGGGAACAAATGGCGAGTGAACCAATTGTTGGTCACCGGCTTCCATGGGACTGCATCTCCTTACGATGCTCCACTGCCTTGTGTGTCAGACGTTCAGGTCGAAGGCTCCGGGTGTGACCCTAAGAAAACCACCTGCTTCGGTTTGGGCACCCGGGCAGTATCACAGCCCACACACAAACGATGAACTCTATGTCTATGGCAACTACTTTTCTCGATCCGATAAACAATCAATCGATTAAAATAATTATCACTACTATTATTGTCATTATTAATACTATTATTATTATTACCATTATTGTCATTATTATTATTATTATCCACATTATTCACTCTCTTTTATACTTATACAGAGGCTCGTCTTTGGTGGAAATTCGACTGTATCTAAACGTTCTCGAGTCACTGTCCGGTTGAAAATTGTATGTTACCACCGAATACGAGAACTGAAGCAGTTTTTCTGAAACCACGTGCACCATTCAAACTGGCTGCCTTCAACGTTCGCACACTAGTGCAGGTCGGACAACAGATAGGGCTGGCTATGTCTTTGGAAAGTCTTAACATTGATGTTTGTTGTCTATCCGAGACCCGTATTCAAGACTCTGGCGAAGTACTACAAATTCGATCTCCATCTGTCGCTTCGAAAAGCTTGTTTTACGTGCGCTTATCCCGGGACCCTGTGGCATCTTCGTCTGGTCTTGCTGGCGTTGGTGTCGCACTAAGCGCTAGAGCTGAGGCAGCACTAGTCGATTGGATCCCCATTAACAGTCGGTTATGTGCTGTTAGATTAGAAAGTTCCATCAAAGTGAGAAGAAATCGGCGTGAGAAACGATGTCTTTTCGTCATCTCTGCCTATGCCCCGACAGATTGCAGCCCGGATGCGATCAAGAATGAGTTTTACCACCAGTTGTCTGTTCTTCTCCAGAAAGTGCGCTCGACAGATATTGTAGTACTAGCCGGAGACTTGAATGCGCAGGTCGGGCGTCTAGGCACAGAAGAGAGTCGTTTAGGTGGCCGATGGGGACTCGTCGGTCGCAGGACAGATAACGGGGACCGTCTACTGCTGTTATGACCTTGAATCGCTTTTTTTTCTTCAAAATCCCCGTCGCCAATTGTTATGACCTTGAGTATGTCTGGTTTTACTATCACGCGACCTATCTACCAATCCGGATACGACTTATACGAATATTCACACTAGGCCAACCAATGACGTTCAACCGGTGTGGGCAGTCTAGCGTCCTTATTGGTCCTATGTCTCCCGAGCCCTTCCACTTGAGTCCAGAACACAATACCAGCTTCGAATCAGAGCAGATCGTTTATTTCAAACATACTCGGTTTATATATCAAACAGACAGACCACAACACACCATAAATTAGGAAATAACATATGTACACAAATAAGCCAAAAAGTGGCTGTGAACGAGGGGGACAGTAATTAATAGACTGAACATAGTTTAAGAACCGTAAATCGTATAATAATAAATTATAGATCAAAATAAAGCTTATAATAAGAGGGATATAAATATACATAATCTAATGATTGAATAGTTTTACAATAAGAATATTTATAGAATATTAGTCCACTAATAGTCCTCGGGAGTTACCTGTAATTTAATCTTCGCTCGGATATAACAACTGCAACTATGCACAGACCACAACCTGTTTCTGGCTAGCACTAACTTTCGGCACAGTGATCGCCGATGTGCCACCTGGCGTCCTCCCTCTGCATCCTAAGCCTGGACTCAGATTGATCACATCGCGATCAGCTACCGCTGGCGTGGTTGTATACAAGACTGCCGCTCCTTCTGGAGTACCTATCTGGACTCTGACCATGCCTTGGTCTGCGCCAATCTTGCCTTACTTTTCAGTGGACAACGAAGTGACCGCCATCAAAGGATTGATATTAGCAAGCTGGTTGCAACTTCTGTTGCAAATAGCTAGCCTCTAGGCTAGCTACCACTCCACCGAAAAGTATAGATGAGCATTGGTTGCAATTGCATGACGCCATGAAAATGGCGGGAACAGTCAGTTGTGGGTTTGCGAAACGTCCCGCTTTTAAGCACTGGGTTTCTTCTGGTTCCTTACAACTTATTGAAGCCCGTCGGTCGACTCTGGGTGACCGTGAGTTTGACCATAAACGAAGGATGTTACGTAGGGAAATTGGGCAAAGCTTGCGTAAGGACCGAGAAGCCTGGTGGTCGGAGCGTGCTAATGAGATGGAAGCAGCAGCTGCATCTGGTAACTACCAGAAGCTCTTCCAGCTCATCCGAGCCACTGGCAGCAAGAAGTTTGGTGTGAGCGAAACAATCTGTGAGGATGACGGGATGCCAATCACTAACATCCATCAACGACTTGGACGATGGGCAGA